AAGGATTCTATGAGTATTAGGGCTGAGCGATGCTTCGGTTCCTGATTCAATTTGGTGGAGATTCAGCCTATTTGGTAACTGAATAGTCAAATCCAAATCAAATCAGAGGACCATTTAATCTCTCCAAAACAAAACTAAAGAACATTAACTGCCAGCATGACCCAGTACGGCATTATTGGCTCCTAGTGCCAGTGCAAGACCTGTCAAAGAAACAGGCTAAAGAGACATTTTTAAGTCCAGAGTCAGGAAAACAAAATAGTTCTCACTGAGTCAGCAGCAAGAAGGCAGCACCTTTTAAGGGTTCAGCTAAACTCTAGTGAAAAAACACTCCTAATACCTTGACAATTCAATACTAACAGCACTTGAATTCCCGAGATGGGTGAACATGGGTTGCTAAATAGACTTGAAAGACAGATTTCGTAGACATTAGGGCTGGAAGGGACCTCCCGAGATCATGGGGTCCATCTCCTGCCCAAGGGGCAGGAAGTCAACTGGCATCAGATCACCCCAGCAAGATAAGCATCCAAGTGTTTCTTAAAGGAATCCAGAGTAGGTGCTTGCACCATTTCTGGGGGAGTCTATTCCAGACTCTGAACACTCAGACAGTAAAGAAGTTTTTCCTTGTTCAGCCTAAAATGGTCTTCCTGGAGTTTGGAACTATTGGACCTTGTCTTCCCTTGGGGTGGTTTGGTGAACAGACGTTCCCCCAGATCCTGATGCACGACCCTGATATGCTTACAGGCTGCCACCAGGTCTCCCCGAGCCTTCGCTTCTCCAGGCTGAGTCCCATTGCTCACAGCCTCTCCTCATCCACCTTCATTCATCATTGGCCTCATATCCAATAAGACCTTTCCAAGTCCAGAGTCAGTATTTCTGCACTTATATCCCCAAATGCTGACAAAGGCACTTTTATTCCACACTATTCAGTAGCTGTGCAACAAGGTGTTTCAGAGATTTCTCCTTAAAACAGATGTCAATAACAACAGCTTCCTTTTAAAGCTACATGCATGGTGGAAGAAATTATGGCATGACAAGAAAAACACCACGGCTCAGAGAGAATTTCTGTATCAATATGAATTTTAAATGTGATCTAGACTCCTTTTCGAAGGAGAGCTGGAGAAGGTGAGGCAGGTCACAAGAGATTATCCTTTAGTTACCTTCCAAATTTTTAGGCAGAGATCTAGGCTCAAAGCCCTTCTTGGCAGAAGCTATAATGTGTTCGGCATTATGTTCAGAACAACAGGTTCCTCAGTGCCAACTGGCCACTGATCTAAAGGGTAACAATCTCCTAAATGAGTGTTCTGGGTATTTTAAGAGCTAACTCTGTGGGAGATACAAGATATACCAGGGCAGCGTTTCTCAAAACTGGGGTACGCAACCCCCCCAGGAGGTCTGCAGAAAGACTTCCAGAGGGTAACCAAGAGTGGAAGAAAGGAAAAAGGAACTATAAATGGAGGAAGAGAAAGAAACAAAATGAAGAACTTGATAGCTCAGGTTACTGGAGAGGTTAGAGAGACAAAGGGTTACTTTTTTATTCGTCGATAACAGTCAAGCCAAACCATTATCATGTTCAGAAGCAGTCTGAGAGCCAAAAAAGTTTGGAGAATCATTGTGGCAGGGTAAGGCTGCATAAAGATAAGGTAACAGCTGCAGGGACAATGATTTAGGTTGAAAACATGGGGGTGGAAAGGAATACCCAGCTAGTTTCTTCCCCTGCTTCTCATTTCTGGTTTGGAGTTGTTTGTTCATCAGCTGGTCCTTGTTTTTAGAAATCAAGACGCTTTATCCAGGGCCTCCATCTTTGCCTCCAAAGAACAAGAAACATCAGAAGCTTCCACGTTAGAACAGACGCTTCCAGGATAGCGATGAAATCTTATAGTCATCTCCACACTCAAAGATCTCCACAAACCAACAGCGCATCACCAAGTGACAACCTGTGAAAACAAGCACTGTGCAGGACTTACCAGCAGGCCAAGATACACAGGCCTGTGAAGAGGATGATGGGAATGGGGTAGGAAGCGCACAGCAGCCCGTGGTTGTAGAACGCCCGCGATATCTTCTCGCGCAGCTTTTCAGTCAGGGTCATCCTCAGCTGTCGTCACCTAGCTGTCATCCCGGAACGTGTCGGGGAGGGGGGTCAGGAGGGGGTTAGTAGAGTCTACCACGGACAACACTTCAAAAGCACTGTGCTCAGGACAGGAGGCTGGAAAAAAGGGAGACAGAGGATGTAAGAGAAGCAGCGCAGCCAACTCTGCTCTAGAGGATATCTCCTCCAGAGGAAGATGACCAAGAAACCTTCCCCAGCAGCTCAGGATAAGTAGTAGAATCATGAACCATAGAAAGTGAGGGTTGGAAGGGACCCCAGGAGGTCACATCTAGCGCAACCCCCTGCTCCAAGCAGGACCAGCCCCAACTACATCATCCCAGCCAGGGCTTTGTCTACCTGGGTCTTCAAAGCCTCCAAGGATGGAGAGTCCACTACCCCTCTGGAGAGCCTGGTCCAGTGTTAGCATTAACAGGGGAGGATGGGAGCCAGCTGAGAGGCCTCAGACACAGGAGCAGCAAGCTGGGAGGGCGTGGGGAAAATAGGCAGAGGATCTCCAAGTGCAAGTGAAACAGAGAGAATGGAGGTGCCGCAAGGGTAGAGGGGAGGAGTCTTTAGGGCACAACAAACCCATGCTCTACTAGTGAGAAAAAGGGCCGGGGAGCCCAAGACACCAGTTAAAACGGGGAAGTGATGGGCATCGTTCCTGGCCATAACATCTTAGGATAAAGTGCACTGAAACATGCTGAGCCTCCGTTTGAAGGTCCCATTGTGAGAGACCCCATGGTGGCAAAGGGAAGAGATTGGGCACAGGATTTACAGACAAGACAAAGGTGGGTAATTTCTTTCTCTGGAAAAAAACAATTGTTTAAATCTGCCAGCCCTGTTCAAGCATGCCAGGTATTAAACAGAGACTGCAGCACAAGTTAAGTGTATTTGAACTGTAGGAGAGAAATGGTCTAATATTTTGTTACTGCTTTACAACAGCAAACACGCCACTAGCACCAGGCAGTTTGAATTTGCTAGTCACCAATTTACAAAGCACAGTAAAAAAATAAAATAAAAATCTAATATTGGAACTTTAAAGGGGTTCCCCCCGACTTGCTCAGAAACATTGGGTGCTGGCTGCAACCAAGGCTGAGGATGGTAACTGGGCTGTGCCAACGTTCCTGCTAGTTCCAGGCGAAAGGGTCTTGTTCCTTCACTTCCCTCTAGCAGGGGCACAGTCCTCTGTCTTGGAGGACCATCACTTGAGACCACTTTAACAAATTATTCCATGTCCTTGCAGTGGCAGGATGCTGATAGTGCCCTTGACCCCCTAGCAAGTTAAATGATCTTTTTTGTGTTTGGGACATTACACCCAGAAGCTGTACATGGAGGGTTGTTGCTCAAGTTTTAAAAGCAGATCTGACCAACACAAAGGATTAGATAAGGATGGTCCTGCCTTGAGCAAGGGGGCTGGACTACATGCAACCTCCTGAGGGCCATGACAGGCCTGTTTTTCTAAACTAACCTTACTGGTTGGGTCGTACAACTGTAAAGCACACAGTACAGACCAGTAGGCTAAGGAAAAAGGGACTCTTGGCTCTCAACGCACTCTCTGCTATTCACAGAAAGATAAGATTATCTATAAATTTCATATTGGAAAAATTAAAGAGTGCACTTTGGAGAACGCAGGAGATTGTTCTCATCAGCACAATCTCTTTGTAAGCAGGTGGAAGAACTCGAAACGTGCGGAACAGAAAGTTTGTTACTCTGCCTATAAGCTCCCACCTTGCTTCCACCCCTTAGGGAGCTGTTAAAATACTCCTCTGGAGCCAGCTGAAGCCCTCAGCCACCTGCAAACCAAAGACAGCCCTAATCTTACTGCCACTGCCAAATTAAATGGATCAGGATGTGTCCTGGCACGGCTGATCTGCTTCGCTGGACGAAACGTGTCACCCACCATCCTGCTCATTGATCCTGTGGGACGGCAGGCAATGCGTTCCCAGCTTGGAGAGGCACGCCCAGAAACTCCGTAGGGTACGTCTTTGTAGCACAGAAAGTTGGGGATCCTACTTGCAAAGACATGTGCAGCTCTGCAAATGGGAAACCTCGGCTTTCTCCTCCCAGAGTCATGCCCTGGAGATTCCTGGGGGCATGTCTCTTTAGGGGTCAGAAAACCAGGCAGCCAGGGCTTGAAGGGCCCAAACCTGTGCAGGAATTCCCAGGGTGTGCAGAATCAGAAGCACCTGCCTGGGGCAGCTGAAGAGTTCAGGCAACTCCAGGACGCCCATTCTCTCCCACCACGAAACCAACAAATGCCTGCTGCAATAATGCAGCAGAAACTACCCACCTCCTTTTGGCGGACCAACTTTTGTGGTGCAGCAAATTGTCTAGACACCCGTTTGCTTCCCCTTCCATAGCATCATAGTGCTTAGGATCGGAAGGGACCTAAAGAGATCATCAGGTCCGACCCCCTGCCCTGGGCAGGAACAGGTGCCAGTATCACCCCAGCCAAATATCTGTCCAGCCTCCTCTTAAAGCCCCCCATAAAGGTGGTAATGGAGGCACAAAGGCGATATCTGTTTGCAGTCTAAGATCGAGGTCTATTTAACACCTCCCAAGGGAAATTCTTCCAGAGAACCCATCTATTCTTTGTGAATTGCCTCAGAAATGCCACTGAAAGTCCGGGGGGGGGGCGGGCAGGCGGTGTTCTGGTTCTGTTTTTTTTAAGTAAATGCTTGTTAAAAAGAACCATTTAATGTTTTACAGTTGAGCCAGAAATCTGCATAAAGCAGGTGAGTAAAAGATGGGAAATCTTTTCTCTGCTCATGCAGCAGACCTCGAGGAGAAGACACATTGTACAGCTTTGTCATCTGCGGAGATGCTCTTAAAAGTGCTCAAAAAAAAAGTTGGCTTGAATTTAGTGCAGAACTGAAACTGGACTAGTCAAGTGATGCTGTGACACAGAGACGAGATAAACCTCTTGCTGCTGTGCAGTGAAGCCATCCCAGTCTTCAGCATGCTATTCTGAACCCCAGAAAAGAGAGACCATTAAAAGTTTGAAAGATTTCCCCCCCACCTTTAATTTACCATTTAACAGCCCAAATGAGGACTGCATAGTTAAGCCCTCCTTGTTAATTCATTTTAATCAACTGTGAGCCAATTCAGAAGCAACAACCAGGTATGCTGAGTTGCAAGCCAAAAATCTAAATATATATTTTTAATCCATCAGAGTGATTCTCATCCTTCCCAAGGGTGCCACTCAATATTAGTACTGCTAGGTGTGCATCTGAAAGCCATGGGCCACGTTCCCTTGGTTTTAGGACTCTCGTGCCATACAGGTTGGGAGACTGGAGATTATCACAATGTGCCTGCCAACCCACCTTAAACAGGCAGACAGGACAGGAACGTGCCCCACACCAGCAGTTGCCTCAATTATGTCAGTGCCATCAAGTCCCAAACAAGTGAACAGGTCAGTGCTGAACACAGCTTTTAGCCATAAAGAAATGACGTGATTTGGCTAAAAGGCTCTGGTAACAGTGACCAGCATGGAGTTTTTGAACAGCAAAACACCAACCTGAACAATTTAAAAGTAACGTGATAAAAAAAATCCAGCACTGAAAGCTATAGGCTCAAGCTGGGGAAGAAGCTTCCTGGCAAGAAGGCTGAAGGCACATCTGCCTGTGATCTCAGTTGCTCACTGGCTGAAACCCCCTGCAAAAGGCAGAAGGCCTATTCACACCGCTCAAGTACACAGGCCTGTTTGCATCAACTCTATTGCACAGCAGTCCGCAGCAGGTTCCCATATAACATGTGCCATTTTGGAGTGGCTTCCAGAAGCCAAAGCAGGGCAATAGATGCATCAGCTGTAGGGCATGAGCTGAGCCCACCTTGACGCAAGGAGCTCAGCAGCATAGCAGCCTGGTTTCAGGAGCTCTGCTTTCCAGAGCAGAGACCAACTGATATTCTGCTGTCGTTACAATGCTGCCCAGAGAAACCAAGCACAGGCAAAAGAGGTCAGGTGCTGCACGAGTTACTGTGCTTAAAAATGGGAACTCCTAGCAGGCTTGCCATAAGACAGACCGCTCCAGTCCAAGGTAAGGAAGGCCACCAGGTCACTGACCCACTAAGACACGGGGTTTGCTCTGGCAAGTGAACGCAAACAGGCGTATCTGTTCAAAAGAGCAAAACAGGACAATCAAGCTGCAAAGCAAGAGGAGCTGCTGCCACCGACAACCTTCCTTTGGCTTCTGTCTGCTGCCTCTTAGGGACAGCTGGCCTTTGTGACATCTTAATCACAGAAAGAGGGTTAGAAGGGACCATTGCTCCTTGTCCTGTCATCTGTCCCTACTGAGAACAGTCCAGTCCCATCGTCTTCACAGCCCCCCTGCAGGGAGGTGAAGGCGGTTATTCAATCCCCCTCAGTCTTCACAGTTCCCTCAGCCTCTCCTCAGAAGAAGGCTGACCATAAAGAGATCCTGGATACCTGGGACTTGCATCCCTGACATCAGGGACACTGCCCCCCACTCCCTGTGCTCACAAGAAAGCAGCCATGCTTGCCCACTGCTTGCAAGCCAGGTTGCACCACTCGGGCTCCCTGCCCTGCACCCCTGCATTGCCAAGACACCCTTATAATTCTCCTCAGTCAGCTGGAATTGGCTTCTTAAATACAGGACTGTCCTGGCTAAACTGGGGAAGATGGTCACCCTACTCACAAGTCATGTCCCCCAGCTCCCCAACCATTTTCATTGCCCTCCACAGGACTCTCTCCAGCTTGTCCACATCCTTTCTATAGTGAGGGGGCCAAAACTGGACACAGGACTCCAGATGTGGCCTCCCCAGTGCTGAATAGAGGGGAAGAATCACTGCCCTCCATCTGCTGGCAACACTCCTGCCAATGCATCCCAGGATGCCGTTAGCCTTCTTGGCAACAAGGGCACACTGCTGGCTCCTATTCAGCTTCTTGTCCCGTTCCCCCAGGGCCTTTCCTGCAGAGCTGCTGCCCAGTCAGTCCACCCCCAGTCTGTCCTGGTGCATGGGACTGTTCCATCCCAAGTGCAAGACTTCGCACTTGTCCTTGCTGAACCTCATGATATGTCTTTTGGTCCAGTCCTCCAATTTATCAAGGTCTCTCTGAATCCCAACCCTACCTCTAGCACATCTACTACTCCCCA